GGCGCGGAAACCGACCCCCTAATCTACGACGCAGCCTTGGAAAACAAGTATGGCAATAGGTGGAAAAGCTTTAAAGCCTCCTTGAATCGCATGTGGCAATCAAAGAACCGCGGCAGCCCCGTTCCCGAGTACTTGGAACTTCAAAACATAGACGAACAGGAAGCAACCACGCGGGAAACCGTAGAGTGGGCAACGCAAGAGCTACGGATGCGTTATCCCAATTTCGAGGCTGACGACATAAAGCTCACAGAACGCGGAAACAAAGTCCTCATAAGCGTCAGAGACATGAGATATCCCGACGCTAACCGTTGGACCAAACCACAACTTCTCTTCGATGATAGTGGCTCAGTCAAGGTTAACGTGGCGAGATTAAGGGGCTTCCAACTAGCTACCCGAAGTGCGTTAGAAAGGTTGGCAACCCTGAACAAAAGGGTTGCGTTAGAAAAACGCGCCGAGGGGCTACAAGAAACGTTGGATGAAAGGGAAGCAGATTACATGAGACAGAACCAACTGCTCGCCGATGCTCAAAAGAGAGAACTTGACGATAAGAATCAGCTAATAGTACAGATGAAAGAACAAAGAGACAAAGCTCTACACGATAGAGACCGGGCCCAAAAGGCCTTCAAGCTTGCCCTGCAAGACCTGAATATGAGCAAGGAAGAAGCTAAAAACTTGCATGTCACCATAGCCAACTCTTTAGAGGAACGGCGGCAGTTGGTTGCCGAAATCAACACCAAAGAAGAGCAAATCAGGCAAATGAGCCAGGCCATCGAAGACTTGGAGGGGCAAATAGAACAACAGCAGGAAATAATTAATGACCAGGCTTGCCCCGAAGAGGAAAGGGAGGCAGCCCAAAAGGAATCAGAAACCCTTCAGGTAAGAGTTGCGGAATTACAGGCGCAAAAGGACAACCTGGAAAAGGAGTTGGGGCTTACCACCAAGGAAAAGGTAAAAAGAGCTCTCTTGAAGTATGGCGTTCCGCTAGCATTTGCAGTCGCTATTTCAAGCGTAGTAGGAGTAATCCTTAGCACGCTTAAGGTTACAGGCGCAGGCGTAAAGAAACTGGGTTCTGGTTTGACGGACTTGGGGAAAAAGATGGCAGCCGGTCTTCCTGGGCTGTTTGGTAGCGTTCTTGGCCTGGCACTTAGGGCCGGCGGAGAACTGTTAAAGTTCGTGGGGAATAACGTTTGGATCTTGGTAGTAGCTATTGGGGTGGTACTCCTGAAGAAGATGAGGGGTTAATCTTGTCCTTGTATGTTACTGGGGGCTTATCGTCGTCAGGCGTCCGAGGCGTCCTCGACTGGGGATAAGTAAAGACGGTGTTAGCGCCGCCTTGGTAATGCGGAACTAGTGGCATGGCAGTCATGGTGCTAATAGATTTATGATTCCAGACCCTATCTGGTCTGCTTCCGTCTAAAGCCATGGTGGTATTAATTAGAACCATGCCTGGGTTATTGGACGGATTACTTGGGTGGGCGTCGCTGGTACGAAGTTGAAGCTTCGCATATTGACAATTGGCTATTATATGAAAAGTCACCGGCGACTGGTTTTCCGCACTCGTATGCACAGCCTCAAATGTGAAGTGCGACGAGTGCCTGTTATTTATCCTTTTCCTATATGGTAATAGTGGGGCGTTGGTCTCATCTACRATCCTAAGCCCAAGATTACAGTTATTCCATAGGTTAACGCCAATGGTACACATGACCAATCCTAGGCCCCCAACCTTTACCCACAACCCGGTATCATGCCACTTATCCCCATAGTAGTCATTCTCCTCCAAGTAATGAAGGAACCAATCTTCCTTTACATGTGGATTCATATATTACAGGGAACAAGTCCCCTTCGTTAGAAGGGGCAGCAAATAAATTTGCTTCTAAAGGCTAAGCACCGTAAGAGTGCTAATGGTTGCGTGATTATAAGCATAGTTTCTTTGGTCCTCTATGCTATTTACCG